ATGTGGTGCCATACACCTTTAATCTCATCAGGCATATCTCTTAGTTCAAGGACAGCTGCATCTACAGAGCAAGTTCTAGGACTACCAGGGGTACAAAGAGAAACCTAGAGTACCAACAACGAAAAACCAAAAAAAAAAACAAAAAAAAAACAAAAAAAAAAAAAACAAGAAAGGAAAGAAAATAGGGTTTCACAATGTAGCTCAAGCTAGTCTTGAACTTACACTTTCTGCTTCAGTCTCCGGGTGCTGCAAATCTACACATAAGCTATCACGTGTGGTTTTAATTACTTTATTAAAAAAAATACTTTTGAGCCAGGCCTGGTAGTCCAGCCCCGCTTGGACTACATAGTAAAATGAAAACTGGCTCAGGGGTTACGCATCCACACTGCTCTAGTGGAGGACCTAAGTTTGGTTCCCTGCACTCAAGCTGGCAGCTCACAATCTCCTGCAACTACAGCTGCAGAGAGACCAGTTCCACAGGTGCTACCTGAACATATGCCCTCTCCACATCTAATACATTTGTGAAAACTGGCTGGAGAGATGGCTCAGTGGTTAAGAACACTTGCTGCTCAATGTACGGACTGGTATACTGAGCCTAGTCCCCCATGTAAGATGGTTCACAAGAGCATGCAACTCAAACTTCAAGGGACTCAATACCCTCTTCTGGTCTCTGGGCACAGGCATATACAATATGCATACACTCACAGAGCCATAGACACAAAGACACACCTGTAAATCTTATCATTTTGGTTGTGAGCTTTAGTCTTCAACAGATGAGACATCTCTCTAGCCCCATAAATAAATCTTTAAAAATACTTTAAAGACTTGTATGTATATTTTCTAGTGCCAGGGATAGAACTCAGGTCTCTGTGTATGCTAAGCAAGTACTCTTACCATTGAGCCGCTCCCTCAGCTCCCTAATATTTTATTTGTTTGTTGGTTCACTTATTTATCTATTTATTTTAGACAGGGTCTCTCTGTGTAGTCCTGGCTGTCTTGGAATTATGTAGATCAGGCTGGCCTTGAACTCAGAGATCCACCTGCCTCTGCCTCCTGAGTGCTGGGATTAAAGGCATGTGCCACCACACTGGATCCCCAATATTTTAACTACAAGTCTTATTTTGGCTTTTGAGATGGGCTGGGCCAAAGCTGTCCTTGGACAGATTGAATCCCCCTGCCTCCACCTTCCCAGTGTCACTGGGCCTGGTCTCTGTGGGCTGGGGATGCATGCTAAACTAGCACTCTGCCGCCTCAGCTACATCCTTAGCATGAGCAGAACTTCAAAATGAGGAAGAAATGCTTGGAATTATGGAAAGAAGTCTGTTGACTTAATAAATATTGAACCTGTTGGAGAACTCTATTGAGCAACCAAAAAGAAAAAAAAGTAAGAAATGTAGACCTGTCACCTTGCAACAGGTGACCCTTCCCTGTGCCAGGACAGTTTCTATAGCATCTGTTAGAACAACCACTTCAGCGTTCCATGTAGGCTGGTTACTGAAATTGTGTGTGCCTTACAGCCAGGGTGAGGTCTCATCTTACTCCCAAATGGGATAAAGAAAGTATTAAACAAATATTTACTGGATAAACAGGAATATTGAAAATTACATATGAGCCAGATAGTGGTTATCCCAGCACTTGGGAAGCAGAGGCAGGTGAGTTTGAGGCCAGCATGGTCTACAGAGCTAGTTCTAGGACAGACAGGCTACACAAAAAAAAACCCTGTCTCTAAAAACAAACAAAACAGTTATATATGAAAACAAAAAAAGTATCAAAGAAAAAAGCCAGGTGTGATGGCACAAACCTTTAGCTTCAGCACTTGGACAGGCAGATCTCTTGAGTTTGAGGCCAGCCAGGGCCACACAGTAAGAGCCTGTCTCAAAAATAAATTTAAAAAAGAAAAAGAAAAAAGTTTACAGCATTTCAAAATTCTGATCTTAAAAAAAAAAAAAAATAAGTACTCAACAATGCCTAGATGGCCAGGACTGGAAGCTGGATAGCTCAGAGACCCAGGGTAGACCAAAGACTATTGACAAAAAAAAAAGTAAACGAAATTATTCCTAACAATATTCTGCTATATTCATAGATTGATGCCTAGCCCAGCTGACATGAGAGGCTTCCTCCAGCAGCCAATGGGAGCAGATGCAGCAAGCCACAGCCAAACATTAGGTGGTGCTCAGGAAAACCTGCGGGAGATGGGGAGGAAGCTTTGTAGGATCCAGAGGGGTTGAGGACACCACAAGAAAACCCACAGAATCAACTAACCTGGGCTCATAGTCATAGTGGCTCACAGAGATTGAATGTCCTAAATGGGACTGACCTAGGCCCTCTACATATATGTTACAGTTGTTGGCTTGGTGTTCTTGTGGGACTCCTAACAGTGGGAGTTGGGGGATGTCTGACTCTTTTGCCTGCTCTTGGGACCCTTTTCCTCCTACTGGGTTGTATCATCCAGCCTTGATGTGAGGGTTTGTGTCCAGTCTTATGGCATCTTGTTATGCCATGTTTGGTTGATATCCCCGGGAGGCCTGCTCGTTTCCAAAGGGAAAGAGAAGAGCAGTAGATCTGGAGAAGAGGAGAAGTAGGGGTGGGGGGAGGACTGGGGAGGAGTGGAGGATGAGAGGCTGTGGTCAGGATGTATTGTATGAGAGAAGAAGAAGAAAAAAAAATAGTTGAGGGCCAGTACTGGTTAATTATCAAAATCTAACCATAAATAAACTAAGACATAATAATAGTATTATACTACAATGGCATTATAACCCTATGATAGGTAAAGGGAAATGGAACAATTTAGCTCAAAATTCATGTCCTTCCTTCAATCTCAGAAAGTGCTGTCAAAAAGAGGGTCATTGCAGATGTTAATGTTATCTTGGCGTAGGATAGGTCCCTAATTTCAGTACGACTGGTGTCTTTAGAAGAGATCAAAGTCATGACAAGGACTATGGGAAGCTGGTCAGCTGGAGCCAGAAGTAGGCCAGGATTCACTTCTACAGGTTTCATTAGAGTGAACCACTCCTGATCTTCAGAATTAAGAGACACTCTCTTTTCACTCTTGGCGGTGTGGAAGATGACCTGTTATTTGCTGGCGTTCTTGGTAAGGACCTGGATTGTCTTTTGACTCATTTCTATCTCTAGCTATTGAGAAGTTTCTAGCACACAGTAGGTCTTCAAAAAGTGTCAAGAGTGAATAAATTACATGCCAACTATATCTAAAGCCAATGCTCAGAGGACAATGGCAAAGACTGAAGGTCATTTCACACACCTAACAATACTTTCCCTTTTGTTGAGCAAGAGACAACATTGAAACAGTGGGGCTGAGTTTTAAGACTCACACCTTTGAATGAACTTTGCCTTCTTCAAAGAATTCCTCTCTAGCTAATGGCTTTTTCCAAGCAGGCCATTGTTTGAAACCTTTCGGAGGAAGTCCTGTTTGGGCACTGTGTTGGAGCTTGAGGCCCACTTCTCATGATGATGTGATTTTCAAAGTATTTGGAGGTAAGCCTAATAAAGTCAGGCATAAAGCCGGGCAACAGTATTTAAAAACAAGATGTGCTTGTTAAAAACAAACAAACAACAACAACAAAAAACCCTCACGATTTTCAGTCAGAATCGGTAACACATCCCTGTATTCCAGCACAGGAGATGCTGAGGCAGGATGACTGACATGGGTTCAAAGCCATCGTGAATTACACAGTGAGACTGTCTAAAAACATTACAGAATTATAAAGTTACCGAAGGTAGAATCCCAAAGGTGGGTAAGAGATACAATTTGCAAGGTGGTCGTGGCGGCACTTGGGAGGCATAGGCAAGAGGATCCCGGTGAGTGCCAGGCCAGACCACTACAGAATGAGACACTGTCACAAAAAGCCCCGTAAGAATCAAAACAAAAGAAAACCCAACTTGCACTTTTTAATACTCCAAGAACACGTACGTCATGGAGTGCTCCCAACAAGATCAGAAGAGACCTCCCCATACCAACCATGACAAAATCATCCTTCTGGTAGGGCTGGAACGCCTGGTCAAAGCTGAACGCCTGCGCCTGGATTCTGCCCAGCATGGACCTGGCAGAGAGGGAGAGTCAGTGGGAGAAGTCAGAGTGCGGAGCCCTGGCCGCCCTCCCTCCCCCGGTCCTCACCATTGGCGGAGCCGGCTGGTGATCTCCCGGCTGCTCAGGGACGAGAAGGTTCTCTGAGGCAGGAATCTGAAGTAGAAGCCGCCGGGACAACCCGGCTCTCCAGCCGCCATTCCGCTTGTGGCTTGGGGAAAGCAGTAGCCGTTTCCATAGAGACACAGCAGCAGGAGACGCACCAAGCTCAGGGGGCGTGGCGCCGTTGGGGGCGTGGCGCCGTTGGGGGCGTGGCGCCGTTGGGGGCGTGGCGCCGTTGGGGGCGTGGCGCCGTTGGGGGCGTGG